TTGGATGTTCTCCAACTCTTATATTGGAGCTACCACTGGTACCACTTCTGCTACTGAGGAGGCCAGTGCTTTCCAGTTACTTGGATACCATGCCTTCTTTTCATCAGTTGAGGCTCTCTTTGCCATGCCAAGGTGTGAAGTGCCTCTTCTGCATTTTATACTCAGAGCGCTGTCAGCTCCACCCACTTACATCTTGTCATTTTCAACCAAAGGCCCCACAGGGGACACTGAAAACGTGCAAATGTTCTGTCAGTCCCATAGGGCTCAGGTGTTTCAGACAGATAATCATCATGGGCAAGTCAGTGGGTGTGGGTCTGATTCCTAAGGGATTCCACGAATGGGCAGGGATCAAAGGGAGCTCTCTGGGCCATCCAAGCAGAGCCAAGACCCTCAGAGCTGCATTAAGTGACAATAAAGGGATTCAACTGTGGACAAAAATCCTGGACAACTGCAGCCTTTGGGTTTTACCTCTGTCTGTGGAATGGGGGCTAAGGAGAGGAAGGGATCACACACTACTTTTAAGAGGCCTGTAAAATCCAGTTTGGGAAAGCTAAACCCACAGCTTACCTATGGGAACTTTCTTAAAGGGCTCATAAACTTAGAAAAGCACCAGTACAGCTGGATTGCATCTCTCTGGGATACAAGCCCATCATTTTATTTATTTGTAATGTAAAGGTAAGGGGGTCAAGGTGTGCCTCTCCTGGGGATGATGTTTGTATTAGAGCCCTTGAGTATGTGACTACTTCCCTCTTTGCTTTGCAAGCCTTGATGCAATATTTTCTTCCTATTTTTTAGCTATTTTATTACTATCTTCCAAAGGAGGAAAAAGACACAAATTATACAGGCACTTAGACATCTTTAGATGTTACAGTTCAATAGCAGTTTACTGCCATTTTGGTAAATTGTGCACAGCAGCAAGCCACAATTAAATGAAATCTTCATTCTTAATGTCTACATGTCTCTAAGATAAGAGTGCACTTTTATTCTCCTTAGAATACTCTATATCTTTATTAAATGCACATGTCATTACAACATAAAATGACTGGCTCCTCAAGCAGACTCTGAAAGATGGCTGCATTTATTTTGTTCTCTGCTTCAAATGACAACCAGAAATGCCTAGAGCAAGATTCTGTTCCTGGTAAATATTAAGCAAAATGGGACATTTCTCTGTTTGCAGATCTATCCCCTGCATTCCATAGATTTGGGATGGGGAGCGGGGCAGGAATAAAAAATACACAAGGGGGGAAAAAGTGGAAATCAATAAAACCTCACCAGTACTCTCCTCACCCCACTTCTTGAAAAACCCACTTGCTTCAAGCTATATCCATGAATCCAGTGAAATTCTCCATGCTTAAGTGTCCATCTTATTTCCAATCCATAAGACTCAGCAGCATCATTTCAAAGACATGGAGACACTTGATTGAAAGAGCTGATCGTCCACCTCATGATGGCATGACCATGTTGGACAAGTTGGGACAAAACCACAGTGGAAGTGGTGCTTGTCTTTTTGCCACCCCTGTCTTGTGTGAACAGGGAACTCTGTAGAGAAAATCTACCCCAACTTCTGCTCCCAAATTCTGTCTTCTGTGTGTGCCTGTCTGAGCAGTAATTCAAGCATCAGCAGATACTGGCTGACCTCCAGCTGGAGCTGGATACGGCACTTTCCTTCCTGCAGGGAAAGGCATCCCTTCAGGTGGCTGCTATTAGCAGCCAGGTGAGAAGGAGAGCCCAGCTGAATGTAAAGCTGACTAACAATACCTTTTTACCACAGATATCCACCACAGGGGAGTATACATTGAGAAGCACAGGCCTGAGATTTTCCTCTCCAAACAATCCTTACCTCAGAGCAGCTCAAGAGTTGCCACTTCTTTTCCCTTGATGCTCTCCTGAAAGACCTGAGGAGCTACCAGTGCTCAGGGCAGGGCAAAATGCATGTAAACTCCATATGTATTTCTCTTTATTTTTTCTTTTCTGACTTATATTTCTATACTGCTAAAAAAACCCCAAACCCAACTAACCAAAAAACCATAACAAACAAACAACCAACCCCAAACCATTCAACAACAACCCCCCACAAACCAAACCAAAACAAAAAAGGCCCTCAAAGCAAATCCCAAACAACCAACACCCAAAAAACAAACCACCTCTCCCCCTGAAAATTTCCCAGAAGAATTTCATTGGTTCCCCAGGAAAATAACCAAGTAGATGCCCAATCTTGGGAGAGCCTGAGTTCCCTCTGCAAGGAGCAGAGCAGCATCAACCACAGCAGGCAGCCACAGGGTGAGAGGTGATGACTGGTGTATTTAAGACCTTCAGGTGTAGGGTCCTTCCCAAGGAAGCATCCCTGTGGCAAGCTCAGGTCTTTGGAGGAGCTGAGAAAGACAACACAGGCACCAGTGTTCCCATACTGACAGTTTGGTATAATGGGTTTACAGCTCCCACAATCAGCTGCTGGGTGGTGTGGTGTTCTGCAAAGTAAGGAGCTCCTGACAAAAAGGCATAATTTTCACACAAACCAGAAAAATGAAGAGTTGCCTCCCACATAGCTCTAGCTGACTATAGGGAGCACAAAAGTGAGCAGCCTATTTATTATATTGCATCTGACATTATGAAAGCCTGTGTAATGTAATTATCCATAAAAGTCCCAACAGTCTGCCAATTGCTCCTCACAGGTACACTTGTTTTTAAGACAGCTTTTCTAGACATCCATTACTTACAGCTTTCTGCTTACCTTTATCTGTTCTGTAAACATTATTTTGCCATGAATAACTGAATGTAAAAATTTTGAAACCACACAAAATCTACTGGTTAAAAATATAGATGCATTTTTATTGTTATAATTTTAAAAAAATTATCTGTTTAGATAGGATACTTGATGTATATATAACCTATCCTCCTCGTTGTTATTCTGGTATGGAAAAGTTCATTTGCAGGCAGTGGGCCTTACTCTAGACCCAGGGGAACATGGGGCCTGGCTTTATTCTACTGACCTCTGTAACTTTACTGAGGAGTATAAGGAGCTGTGCTTTTGCAAGGAAAGAGGGATCTTGCCCCACAAGATTTGTTAATAGACCTTCTTAGGGTTCAAGCTCTCTAATTCACAGAAGAGGACTGCCACTCTTAGAAGATGAATACAAGGAAGAGGATTATGATCAGCAACAGACTGAGACAGTAAAGGCCCAAAAGGGCCCCATTTAAAGAGGCTTTGGATGATGAAGATGTTTTGAAATTAATAAGTAACCTGGTTTTGGTTTATGCTATTTCAGAATGGCTTTTTTCTTCATTTTATTAATTACAAGGCACCACCGCTACCTTCTCTGTGTCATTTCCCACTTCTCTTTGTTCAGCTCCTACTGCCCCCTCAGTATGCTGCCTTTTGTGGATCTAATTCTTACACAAGAAATTCTTTATATCTCATAAGAAGCCTATATATTTAAATTGGAGTTATGATTCATTTTGGGCCACTGGTAACTTTAAAGTATTTCTTAAATTGCACCATACTGCAACTCGTACTTAGAGTTGTCCTTATGAGACCCACTGGATATGCATTATATGCTTGTGCTCATCCAGCTGCCCCACATCCAAAACTGGATGGGCTTTCCAGATGCACAGGCCATGGTACATAGTAACAGTGGCAGAAGTCATAGAATCATAGAATGGTTTGGGCTGGAAAGGACCTCAAAGATCTTCCAGTTCCAATTCCCCTACCATGAGCAGGGACACCTTCCACTAGACCAAGACTCCATCCAACCTGTCTTAGTTGATCTTTGAATTCATTCTCTGCTTTCCAATTAAGTTTCTTCTTTTCAAACATATATAAAGAGATATTTTGTGCCTCACACAGTGTCATGCCCTTGTAAACCACACCTGCTGTGTGAGCTGTGCTTTCCTGCTGTAGAAGGACATTGGGTAAGGTTACTTTCTGAATATAGTGTTGGCACCAGCAAAGCCCCCTTTGGACTAAAAGAAAGATAGTACAGCAAAACAAAAAGATATTGAGGGATGAAATATCCCAGCAGCAACTATGGGACCTAAAGCATACTATTTCATAAGATATATGCTTCTTTTGGTGTGCTGTGTGCTAATCCCTACAAGTGTTGTATGAATGGAATGATAGCTAAACATGAGCAAATCTTAAGAATAACTCAACTGTTTCAGAATCTCATTATATTTTTAACTTGATTTCAGTCTGGTTCAAACTCCATTCCAAAAAAGCCAATTCAAGGCTACAGGCAGCCTTGAAAAACACTTAAAAGCAGAAGAACATGGAAGATACATAACAAAAAATTGATCCAAAAGGCAACATTTCATCCATCTATTTTATTCCCAAGCATTTCAGAGGCAGTTCTGTCTAGTGCATAAGAAACCACAAACTCACTTAAGAGCAGGGCTTGACTCAGCCACTTGGCAATGCCTTCCCCTAGCCAAATGGTTTACCTGTCCCACTCTATTTCAGGCTCATCAACACAGGCTGATAACCTTCTGGGACAGGTACTGCCTGTTTTCCTGTACCTGCCCTCTTCCCATAGGTGCATTCCTAATGGATAAGGGTATGTGCACCATTTTTCCGTATAAGACCTCTTGTTTCTCACAGCAATGGAAAAGAAGAGCCAATATAAGAACAGAGGAAATGTGAGATCCAAGAGGCATCCAGAAGAGTTACAGGAAGAGAAGAAGCTAATGTCACAAAGCCATAAGGTTATGGGAAATAATTTTTTCCTAGTTTTCTGTAATTTGTAATGTAGTTACAGAAAACAAGACTATAGCGAACAGAATTTCCAGGAAGAGACAGGAGAATAGGAACTGCCATTCAAGGAGGCACACTGGTGATGAAAGTTGCTAATCTGCTAGATGACAGCAAAAAAGAAATTAAGTAAGAAGAAATCTATATGCAGATAATCTACCTGGGATTTTGGGAGATTACTAATCTGACATCTTTTAAAGATCTACTGTTTTGAGCAACATGTATGTTTTATTTCACTAGGGTTTTTATTTTCCAGGTTCTGTCGGGGCATGGCTGTTTGCTCACTTAGCTTATGTTCTGAGAAATTCCCCATGCCAAAAGTCCCTGAAGTTTATAATTAACCACAACAGAGCTTGAAGATGGATGAAGCTGAAAGAAGAGAGAGAGACACAGAGAGAAAAATATTGTACTGAAGGGTGTTAACAGGGGAAAATGCTGTCACTGTGAATATCTGCCTGTATAAAGCAATGTTCAGCAAGGGATCCCTGTCTGGTGTCCCTCAGGCTTAGCAGGTAAGCTGTGTGAAATGCTGACTTGAAGGGGCAGCTCTATTGTTTCCTGGCAAGGCCAGGAAATGCTGTTATAAAATATAGTGTTCTTCCTGGAATATTTATTAGGATTTTGGAAAGATTGATTTGGCCACTGAGGATAGATATGTGAGCATCTGCTCTAATGGCAGTAAAAAGAATTAGACTCATCAGGAATAGTAATTCATAATGATAGTGGTGGTGTTTGCTCTTTGAATACAAAGAATCTCCTAGGGCGTTCAATTCAAGTATAAGTAACGCTACTACATGCAAGAAAAGCCTCCCCTTTTTTCTTTTAATTTTTTTTCTTTTTTTTTTCCCCACAGCAAGAGTGCAGTCAGAAAAGGGCCCAAACCTATGAGCCTCTGAGCTCATGAGTAAGTGGATGATTGTTAATTGAGGTGGTTCCTTTTCCGATCACCTCATTCAAACAGAAGGGCATGTCGTCACATTTGCAAAGACACTTGAGAAACTGTTACTGCCTGAAAAAGTATAGATGAAGGAACCTGATGTACAGATCTGGTAAAACTCAACACCATTTGCTGCAGTACTGCCATAACTGGATTTTGGTTTCTTAAGGAAAGAGGAGAGATGAAGTAGGAAAGGCAGATGTCTTCTCTTCTCCACCTAGGACCCAGGGACAGGAAGCCTGAACTTGGTTTATTTCTTTGTATCCCATTAAGGAAAAATAAATGCTATTCAAAATGCTATATTTCTATTCTTTCTGAAGTATGACCAGAAAGTCACCTGAAGTATGACCAGAAAGTCATCCTAACATCCTGAGTAAAGATAAATCACATTCATGAAGAAGTCACTCAGACTGGGTGAACCTCTGCCTCCTCCACCTCTGCTCCTCAGGTGAAGCTGCAGTACACATTTTTAAGAATTCTCCATGCTTACTCTTAACAGTCTTTTACATTTACCAGGAATAAGAAGTCCTAAGGAAAGGTGCTATAAATCTTAGTAGAAATAAACCCAACCTTGTATTGTTAAAATTAGAACTTAAATTGATATTTAAAATGCTGAACCACAGATCTAATTCTCCATAAAATTCTACTCAAGAGCTTGAATAAAACTGCGGAAAAGATTTCCTTTTTAACTGTAGAGAAATTTGCTGTAAATGGGTGCAATGGTGTACTTTAGAACCCTGGAGGCAGTTAATTGAGCCCTCCCTCCAATTTTAGCCTGCATATTCTTTGCTAAGCCCACACAGGCAGCTGAAAGAACAGCTCCTGGAGTACCATCCTGCTCTAAAAATGAATCTCTGCATGGTCATGCGCACTGATATAGCCAGAACAGCATGCTTGTGACAAGTGTTGTATACAGGGTGTTCAAGAATACGGCTGGGAAAGATTAGCAGCAAGGAGGTTCTTACTCAAAATGAGATAGACGTGGGAAACAAATAATGGGGGAAACAAATGGAAATGAAAGAGTCTTCAAAGACCATTGAAAAACCTCTTCATTCTAAAGAAACAGCCCACGTTAGCAGTTTAAAAAAAGACCCGTACTTATTTTGGTCAGCATTGACAACCTTCTTCCGTTGTGTAGTAGCTTCCTTCTCAAATAGTCAGGTGCAGAGCACAGTCCTACTCACTGGGAGCAAAGCTGACAGAATCTGCCTCTCACTTTGGCACATTCAGCATTTCACAGACTTTATATCTGGTGAGTCAAGCACCCATTCTGCCAAGCCTCCATATGCAAATGCAGGCTTACCCTCACTGGCACAGCACAGCAGAAGACGTTCCCAGACTTATTTATTATTTATTGGAAAAACATGTTTATTAAACAACCGTGCTTCAAAACACAACTTTCTTTTTCTTTTCTCTTCATTTTCCCTATAGCCTCCTAGGATCTCTCTGGCACCAAAAATTCCCCTGCAATTATAGCCAACAACTGAAACTCAGCCTGAAGTCCAGATATAGATTTCACACCCCTCTGGAGCAATCACTGAGAATTTCAGGGATTTAAGGAGTTTCAAGAACTGCCTGCAAAGAGCTAAATCTTATAGAAGTATTGCTCGTTCACCACCTGACACGTAGGGACTGTACTTTTTATTTTAACACTCATAAAACATGTACAAGGGCTGAGGTGTTTTTGACACATAAATCTCAGGTACTGAAAGTTCACTCTTGTTCTGCTGCCTCTTACAGTTATTTGAGGCAATGTGCCACTCCCAATATTTCTGGAAATGTAATGGCACTCTTCCCACTAAAAGCCTAGAGTATCGCTATTATACAGACTTTGGAAGTTAAACTCCTTTTGAGGATTCTTGATCTTTTTCTTAAAGCTCAAGTGTCACTTTCCTTGCCAGTCAGCCAAAAATCATATTGAAGAAACCCTAAACTTTTAGAGATACGGGCAGAAAAATAGACTGCATGTACAGCTAGTGCATATTCAGTATGACCTAAATTGTCCCAGGCACTGGAGAGGATGTGCTCACTGTGTGGCCATGTGCCCGTCTGCAGAGGGTGAAACAGGCACTCTGGTTCCTGGCTCCCCTCCTCCTGGCCCCTGAGCAAGAAATAGCCAAGGACAGTTGTTCGGCCCAGGGGAGGTCTGAAGCCCCTCACCACTCATCTTCTGGGAGACCACGCTGAACATCTGACAAACCACAACGTTTCTGTGCTTGCAGGAACCTGCAGGAAAATGTAAGAAGACTATTCCTTCCCTCTTCTGTTTTCATATACAATAAGTTGTTTAACATAAAACAGTGAAAAAATATACATCTGGCCTTTTATTTACTGGCAGTTTCAGTTTCAACTCATGAGCTCCAGTACCAATCCCTGGTGCAACTCCATTGACTTCAGCAGACTCCGCCAGAGGTCACAATGTGCCATTAAGAGTTGAAATAAGACAAGATATGCAGTCCTGTTTCTTTCCAGCCCATAAAACCAGTCTGAAAGATTTTCTTTCCTGTCTTCATTTTATCCAAGATCTATCAAGAATATTGAGTTCTATCTTTGTTTTTGCTGAAGGATTGCTGAAGTGGAAAAAGCACTTTCTTTAATTACAGGGAAAAGGGGCTTAATCTATAATAGAAAGATAGTATTTCCTAGTTAGTTTCCACATATTTTAATTCAGTGGGTGCTAACCAAAGAAAACCCAGCATGTTCAGGATGTTTAAAAAAAAAAAACCTTCCATTCATATTTTCTTAAATTTAGAGTTTGTGATACATTTTATTCAAGTGTTTGTGCCATACTTAGCACTGTCATCATGGGCTCCTTCCAGAAGTGTATCTGACAACACAATTAACATTTTCACATGTTGTTTGGGTTTTTGCTTTCTTCAGGACAGATTTATATGGAAGAATGTCTTATTTTCTCCTTTATTTGTTTTTAAAACATCCCTCTGTCTGAGAGAATGGCAAAAAAAAGAGGAACAATTTGCACTAGGTAAATGTGCACAGACTCAGATGTGGTGGACCAAATGAGCACAGCCCTGGAGCTTTTCCTTAAGCACTGTCTAAGAAGCATCTGCCGGATGCTTCTTACTCCTTGAACAGGAAGGGCCTGAGAGAGGGAAGATACTGCAGTCCCCCTCATTCTTCTTCCAAACTAGCTTTAGTTAACAAAGACCTGCTACACTCTGTACATCAAACCCAGAGACAACCCAACAGTGACAGCACAACATTGTTGTGGCTGATATTTTATGGCCCTTTGCAACATGGAGTAAGAAGTCATACAGAAATACTTTTCCAAACATATTTGACAGGAATTATTCATTAAGGGTATATATCTTCTGAGCATGAATAGCTTAGTGACCCTCCCAAGTCACACAGGCGACTGGGAATTTCAATTTGGTAAAATAACACAGTTTGTATAATGGTTGCCTGTCTTGTAATTGGCATATAAAATATTTCCTTGCAGAAGCAAACAACCAAATAACAAATGAAAACCATAATGCAACTCCACTGATGATCATACTGAAATCTGAATTAGGTGTCACAGTATGTGTCTACTGACATCTACATTGGAGTGGCAATGGGGAGGGGAGGAAAGGCTGTCTCTGGTTTTGATTCCTGAGGCTACATGCAATACAAATATACCCTGAAGTCAACAGACTTTCACGTTATACATCTGTGCTGAATTTGCTTTCCAATATCCTAGATTTGATGTGGGCAGATGGTGGAAGAGCTCTCCCTGGAAGCAGCGTGTTCTGCCCCCGAGAGGAATGCCCTTATGTCTCTTAGACATGAACTGCCTGGCTGATTAATAAGCAGTGCTGTTTGGCTTAGGAGAAAGTTCACATTTGCTTCTTTTGCCTGCAGAGTAGGACTTTACTGGGACAGGGGGGTTAAACTGGGACTGTCAGAGAAGTTTGGAGCAGGTGGTGAAAGTGACCAGAAGTGGGAAGGGAACAAAGGAGGATGCTGTGTCCCCTGAGGGAACAACCGGTTGCCTGTGGTGATTTTGTCTGGCGTGGCAATGAGGATGCCAGTGCCTGGAGCAGCAGAGAGGTGCCCCATCTTCTCAGCCTTCACCGCCTGCTAGGCTTACCAATGTGATGTGGGCTCTCCAGGTGATCCAAAAACCCCATGACTCCTGGCAGAGAACCTGGTGCAAAGTCTTGTTCTCTGAAAAGACTTCTTTCTTCCCCTGGATAAGGAAAATCCTCCTGCTCCTAAGGGGGACAAAAGCAGCCATTCAGTTCAGAGCTGGGGCTGTTTTCACAGCTTCCAGCAGACACACTGTGCTTCAATACTGCTGATAAATCTATTAAATGAGAGCACATGCTTTTAGAGGGCAAGTGGCTACTTTACCTAAATGCTATTTACATGTAAGTGTTAATCAAGAAATATGTTCTAATCCAATTCTACCACAATATTGTTTTTCCTTCCTTTCCCTGACCCAGTATCTATATGAACAAAGGGCACAAAAGACAGAACTGTCATTTGATTTATTTGATTTTACTGACTGTGTTTATCACTAACTGTCCATTTTCTTTAACTTTACATAAAATCAGTGTTTGGGACACTGAAAAGGTAGAGACTTCTAACACAAAACTATGTTCACTGACTTTACCCAGGACACCAATAGTGAAGGTGATAGAGAAACAACCCAAAGGAATATATTCACCTCAGAGGGACAATTTAAAGAATGGTAATGCAGGCACTTCTGCAGAGGACCCACCCCTGCATTTCCTACAGAGAAATAGGAAGAAAGTGAGGTTGCTCTGGGGCTGTGGGTAAAGCCGAGCAGCCCTCCCCAACTCATGATGCCACACAAGGATGGGACTGACAGTCATTTTTGGGAAAATCACACAAGTGACAAGATCTGGGAGGAGGGGGTTAAAAGGCCTCTTGGATAAAACCTAAGAGGTCTTTGTAAGTAAACTGTAGAAATAAGTTTTTAGGTGTATGTGTTGACAATAGCAAGTTGAGAGCAAAATGCTCCAAATAAAATTCATTTTTACTGTGGCTGCTTGAAGCCTGCAGATAAAGATGCAGACCTGAGACCAGTGGGACCACTCTAGAAAGCCTGTTTGAAACCAACACAGGATTTCACAGGGCTGTACTTGCGACTTTGCTTCCACAGAGTCTTCACTCAGCCCTGTCAGTATTTACAAGGATATTTCTAGATGCCTGCAGACTTCAGTGTATGACAAATGCTACAAAATAAGAAAAATTAATTTCTTGGCTCTTTCTCAAGATGCTGTAAAGGTATAAAAAAATTTAATAGTCATATTAACTTGATATGCTTCAGAACATTAACTCAAGAGACAATTTTTTTCAAACAGATTCACAATATTTATAATAACCCTTATGCTATGCTGCTTGTTGCCACCCACATGAAGGAGCTGCCATACAATGTTGTCTTACATTATTTGCTTAGCTGCAGAAATTTTGGCATGGTATTGTATAGAAAATGAAAGGAATGAACTGTGTGCTGCTGATACATTTTCTCCTCCTGCAGTTTCACGTGGTTACAGCTCCCATGTCGCACCCCAGAGGTGACTTCATTACAGTGAGTGAATGCTTTCCTCTGTGTTAGAATGTGTTTGTAAAATATTGCTTGGAATTAAAGATACTGGATGGATTTCTAATTGGACATTTAGTATAGCTAGCTGGCACGTTGGTGACAGCCTCATTTAATGTATACAGCTTAATTGGGTAGCTCGTTTGCCAAGCCCCAACTGGCAGCAACAAGCACCAGGTTCAACATCTAGATGTCCATTTTTAACATCATCTTGAGACACCATCCAAAACCAGAGAGAAACCAAATCAAACTGTGAGAACACTTAGTGAGCAATATATTCCCTGCTCACAAGCAGTGAATCAAACAGGCTTATTCAAAGAGCACCTTATTTGGGAGACCATAAAAGCAAAAAAAAAAGAACAGCACAGAGAAACAATCTATGATAGGCCCTTTTGGTCTCTGCTCCAGTCCCTTCTCAAAGCAGATGAATAATAATTCATGTTGCTCTTCTTTTAGCATGATGCTGCTTATTGCTTTGCACAACCAGACCCATCACTTCCTGAATATGAAGATACTGAATTTTCCTAATTTAGACCTTTTGAGAAAAATCTCAGCTTACTGTGAAGGGGCTAACATCTCTCCTGATAGCCTGCTTTATTGTTGTTTCCACTTCTCCCTAGGAATTTAAAAAAAAAAAACAAAACCCAAGAGACAGCACATGAACACCTCACTTAAAGAAAGGAGCTTCCTTAAAAGTAGGGTCCTTTCATACTTCCTGAGTTTCTTTGGCACAGTTCTTTCTTCTGCAGCATTAGATCTGGGCATCTGGTCAGGCTCAGTAATACTTCACTGGTTTCAATGAAAATGCCATTAAAAAAATGTCTTAGAGGTCAGGGTTAACAGTGTCTCTCAAAAATTTACTAGCACTAACAAGACCCAAAACTTACTCTAATCTTCAGCAGTTGTCATTGTTCTCTGGACACTTTTGCTTGTAGAGCACTGAGTAAGTTCTGTGTCTTCTCATACTCCAGCTAGCAGAGTTCATTGCTGAGAGAACAATCTCACTGTTATGCACAGGATTTTCAGAATCACAATCCTCTCTCTTAGTCCTTTTCATTGATTCCAGTCCACATATTGATATTTGTTTTGGAATATGATATTTTGATCAGTATTAAACTGAGTTTTGTGACTTGGCTTTTTTTTGGAGATAAAAACATAGTGGAAATGTTAATCTTATTGGCTAACTAAACAGTGATGCTAAATGTGCAATTTTAACATCTCTTTCCTGAGATACGTTGGCTACTAATAGTCTTCAATTTTACAAAAACAATTTTTCTACAATCTGTGTGGTTAGGCTGAAAAACATGGTTATACAGCTTGGCCACACATTCTCTCAAAATAAAACCAGCAATAAAATATGTAGTGAAGACTGAAATTTATGATATACATCAGACAGAGATGAAAACCGTCTCCTGCTGAAAACAAAGGCAAATTAATCATTGATTTCATTTCAGTTGGGATGTCAGTCAAGGCATGTCCATGTCTCAGACCTTGTTCACAAGAAACATGTCTTTATGTGTGCAACATCCCCCCCATCCCCATCCCCCCTACTACACCCACTTCCATTTCTTGTCACGGTTTCTTCAGAACCAACCAAAATCCCATGTTTTGGATTATATGAGAGTCCATCAGTTCCAAAAAACAAGCTCCAATTCAAGGACAGCCTGTTACAGTTGTGCTTTCCACTGACAAAAATCACTATTTCTAGCAGAAAACTATAATACCTAAATGCAGTTGGAAGTCAGATCCTTGGTAGAACAGTATAGCTTTATTAAAGATGACTATGACTACACTCATACCGGTGGCTCATCTGATTGATGAGCAGAGTCTCACCCTGTAAGACTGCAAGAGAGAAATGGAAGGAAGGAAAACATTTTCCTGTGCTCCCTCAAGAAAGCAGAGAAAAAAAATGGTATTAAATGGACCATAGATGCTAATGTGTGATGCTGACTGTGGATGAAGTTTGCAGGACTTGCAACATTTTCTGAGCACTCAGATCAGTGGCAAGTTTTGAGGTGTATTCCTTTGGATTGTAATTTAGACCTGATTGAGAAGCCTTTTTTTTAATCTCAAAACTGGAGACCTGCTATATCTTAATTGAGCTCACCATACCATCCACTAGACTGCAGTTGAATTGAACAAGATGAGAGCTGAAATGGGAACAAACTCCTTCCCAAAGAAGTCAGCTATTGCAGAAATGATTCTGGGGTAGACAGAACTGGTTTTCTGGTACTCAGGTCTACTTACCCTGTAAATGGCACTTTCAAATTAAATTCCTTTCCTTGAGACATTCACAAACCTCTCTTCCTTAGACAGGAAGATGCCAAACAGAGCAGGAGGTACTGACTGCTTCAAGATGCACTGTCTTCAACAGTGGTGAAGATTTATTTCGGTGGTGCCTGAGTGGGATGGAGCTATTAGGGAAATTATTTACTCTGAGAAGGAAATTAATACCACACAAAACAAGAAGAAAGGATCTTGTTCCCGAAATTCTTTTTCTCCTCTTTAAACCAGAGGAAAGAAAACTCACCTAAAGAATGAGGCATTTAGAAGGTTTACAATTTATTAGGTGCAGAGAAATAACCTTGGCAAAACTTGCTTTTCTGTGTCAATACCTTGAGCAAGAGCAGATTCAGACAAATGTAACTGGAAGTACTGAAGGAATGAGAAAGATTTAAGAGCAGTGAGATGCTGCTGTCTTGTAAAGCTGTGCTAATTCAATGTCCCATCAAACATCCTGGCACAAGCATACAGCTCTCTGCCACATAATCCAGACAGCAAACAGAAGCAAAAGAAAACATTTCAATTAATATACCACTAATGGTAACAAGATGACCTTGGCATGTCTGAATTTACCCTTTAGCAAAATACATGTATAAATAAATAATGACTGACATTTGTAGTCTTAATAAAACCAGTTGTGTTCTGTATGGGGAGATGAGATCTTTCCTTCCACAGTATTTTCCTCCTCCACATTTATAAATTTACTAACTCAACCATGTTTTCTCCATGACCCTCAAATTCAGTATTATGCTGTTTTGATGCTGGTGTTGATAATGAATCACAGTTAAGAAACTCCTCTGGCATTCAAGTTTTATGCTCACCTTTTCAGGGCTGTTTTCAGGTATCATACCCATCTCTCACAGCTGGCATGTCCCAGCCTTGCTCAGTCTTTAGTCCTCTTTGGGCTGGCCATAGACTAACTACGGGTTCTGGTAGCAGAGATAACTCCTATCAAAACTTCCATGAGATGTTGCCCAGATCCTATCCCAGAGAACACATTTTTCTGCCCCCTGTAAGACTCGTGGCTGATCCAGTCTTTTAAAGGGAATGAGACATGCTACAGAGTGCTGTGCACTTCAGTGTGTGCTTTAGGATGTATTCAATGTGCCAGCATCAGCAATATGCACAGCCAAGTGCTCCCTATGGAGTTAACCTATTTTATCTACCAAAGAGTCATTACTGTCGTCTACCAAAGACGTGTCTCAAAAGGTGTAATCCTAATCTGATAGCACTCCAATGAGATCTGTGTAAGCAAAATTTGCTGATGCTCTTTAGGTATGTCTAGATAGATATATAGATGACTTGGCCTATTATTTTCTCTTCCACTCTCCAGGGAACTCATCGTGCTTATCTTTATAAAGCCATCATTGAACCTTACTTGGACTGGGAGGCAGAACAATAGCAATGTCACTGTCAGCTGTGTGATTTTTCAAAGATTCTCACATTTTCTATCTTCTTTTGCTAAGGAAAAAATGACCTTGCACCTTATTTCCTTTTCTTCATTAAAGAAGGTGAAAAATTGCATTTCTCTCTTGGCCATTCAGAGAAAACTCTTTTAAAATCACAAACTAAACTGGTGTCTATGTGATCTTCACATTTAGATGTTTTCCCAGCAGGGATTCAAGCACTTCTGCCACTTCAGTGTCTCAACAAGATCATGTGAAATATTGAAAGGAAAGGGAAGACTGCAGTATACAGGGCCAATCAGCGAAAACATTTTGTCTGCACTTTGTCCTTGGATACTAATTTAAATCTAATCTGCAAGCAACAGCTTCAGAGTGCTACAAGCACATCCCATGTCCATTAGCAGCATTTGCAGGGAGGGAAGGTCTCTCAACTCCTTAGCCAACTTCTAAAAGGCACTTGTCCCGTGGAGGAAGGTTCCTCTTGCCCTCTCTCTTCTGATGAGTTTTCATCACAAGTGAGACTTATAAAACCTGCAGCCTGTTTTTATATTTCCATGGCCAGCTTCCTTCTAGCAATTTACTCTCAGTTCCTCACAGGACAGTCAAAATATCAGATGGGCAATCAACAACACTCCATTTGCACACCCACCCACCCTCAGTGTATTACAGTGTGTAACAGCACAGGAGAACATAACTAATGACACTCACAGTCCAGAAGATCAAAGGGAGATAGAAAACATAATGAGTTACCATGGAACAAAGCACTTATCCTTCTATTGAGGAAATGAGCCATAAGAGGCATGGTTAAGGCCTGGGGTTTTGCACAACTACATGCTATTCCACTCCATATTCATTTTAATTCAGCTGAATCCTTTCTTTAAAATATTATTTTAAATTTTTGGTCTTTATGAATAATTATTAAAATAGGCTGCTTTTTGCCTTTTTTAATGGACTATACAGACATCCAAATGTTCCATTATTCTCTAAACCTAAATTTCTGAAGTAGTCATAACTCCTGACTCTTCATGGGAGAAAATGTGCTTGAAATCAGAGTTTTATACACAGAATTTATAATAAAACAAGCCACATTTCCTACCACCTGTTACTGATTATCCAACTCAATATGGGCAAAAGAGTGAATAGATTTTCGTACATGGACTCAAAACAAAAACTGTTTAAACATAGGTATAGTTGTTTGTGGGTTTTTTTTTTTTTCTTTACAGTGCATTCCATTTGATTCCTAGCTTAGGAGCATTTAGTCTTCAAAATTGTTTTATTGCTGCATTGTGATGTGATAGATCACACTCCAACTCACACTGGGAGTTCTCCCAATTGTTCAAACAATTCCCAGTTTGCAGAGAGTAGTGCCCCCAGTATCTGGGTATAGCAGCCCTGGACAGTGGGTATTCTGATGAACAGCACATCTCCTTCTGAAGCACTTTTCAGGTCACCCATTGCAGTCCCTCAGGTCTGATAACCATTCCCATGCCAGGGAGGAGAAAAGCACTTAACTGGCTACTTGCCCATTGCTGACAGACTGATCTGTGCAGAAGCTGCCCTGCAGCTCAGCATGGCTCTGTTAGTCTCTTGAGCTGTTAGAGCCTCTCCTTTCCTCCCTCTCCCTCCTGCTTGCTCCTCCCTCCTGGCCCCCCACCTTCAAGCCTTCTTGATCTTACTCTGTGATTCCTCTGCCAGCTCTGTCTGGCAGCTTCTTGCACTCTGCTAACCCCACTTTATAGCCTTTGCTCTTTGGCAGGGCATCAGGAACTGTCCCCTCAGAGAACAGGCCTTCCTCAGAGATTCTGCCTCCCGCTCCAGCTTTGCTGCCCATTCCTTCCCCTCCTCTGGGCATCACATCCAAAGGATAGCCAGATGTGGCACAGTTCATTATGGATAGTTGAGAAATGAAGTTTAAATTGTCATCAACCACGTAAAAAATAAAGGTATGGGCTACATTTGAAAGAATAAATGCAAATTAACATTGTTTTTTTTTTTAATCTCTATGAAAGTAATTCTCAAATTCATCTTGTGCTTTCACCAGCCATTTGATGTATTATTATCCTTTGCGGGATTATGTGGATACAGACATTTCTTTGGGTGATTATTTTTAGTATTTTTACATAGGCAATTTTGAAAGGCTCTATAAGAATATACTTTAAGACAGCATTTCTTTAGGAATGATTAAGCATAATCATGCAACTATAATCATGCATTGCAGAGAAAAGTTGAATACAGAATTGATACAGTCTCAGTTGTGGTTGCTATGTAATTTTTCTTTTCATACTAATATTGAATTTTATTCATAAAAGAGTAACTGATTTTTAAAGATTGAGAGAGAAAGCCTTAATGCAGAATTTCCTGTAGATTCAGTGTCCATTTATTTTTGGAAACTGCATTACATATTTTTTTAACTATTATTTTTCCCTGGAAATTAACTTGTGCTATAATCAGATAACGCACTTGAATGACAACAAGCCTATTTACTATATACATATATTTGTATATCTGCATATCATATCAGATATACAACAGCCTGGGGGGAAAAAGTGATGGTGATACTTGATATATTGAATTAAAAGTTTATAGGATGGTATTTTCACACAGAGCTTTCTTGACTGTGTGAGGACCTAGAACCTGGATATTCATGTTGGAAATTATATAAGAGCTAAGAATAATTGTTCTCTGCCTCGCAACTTCCTCCAGCATACATCAAGCCTGCTGGTTTTAACTGGAAGATCTTTATTAAAACTAGTGTACTTCACCAGTTTCTTTGACAGGGAACCTCATTCTGAAATTGCTGTCTGTGGTCTTGGTGGAAAAAGTTACAGCAACTTTTTCAAGTTAATTTTTCTGTTTTTCAATGTATAACAATTGAGTATTTGTAACTTCTAATATTATCTAATTACTGAACACCTTACATTTCTTATTCTTTCTTTCATGCCAGAGTCTTCCCTTAAACTTTCATTGCATTAGTTGCACAAGTGTATGTGGAAACATGCATGGAAACACACCTACAACAAAAATTTTATGCTGAGATCTCCACCAGCTATAAAGCATTTGAGCTAATACTGAGTATGTGTGTTAAACACATACACAGCATGTCAGGGCAAAATGCATAGAAAAAGATTCTAGAGAATTTTATAAATCTCTGGGTGGGGCTAGACCCACTATTCCCAAGGAAGGAGACATCCCTGTACACACCAAAGAGTTTTGCCTTTTTGTGAAAGTACTTCACTTTCTGTGAGGTATTAAAAGCTCCCAGAGTCCCTGCAAAAGCTAGTATGAACTAGAGATGTCATGCCATGTTTTACACAGAAAATAGAAAAGTGCTCGCTATTGCCTTGTTTGCTGTCTTCTGTACATAAAAATAAAATAATTTGTTTTTTAAAATTATGCATGTAAATCTTGACAGTAGCCCAGCAAGGACCCTAAACATGTTTACAACACAATTGTAGATCTTACAAATGCAGGCTTTGCTGATACTGCAATTCTCTACCTAACCTATATGCCGAGGGATAAATCACTTGCCAACTATGCAAGAGAAATTATGAGTCCATTGACAGCCCAAACCTTTACTAAAGACAGTTCACCAGTGTAGGTGGTAGTAGGCAGTGTATGGTCCAGTAGTAGGACCCATCACAAGGTCACACAGGAGAAAGTCTCTCTCTGTTCTCCTTTCCTCCCCCCCTTACCCAGGGTAGGCAGTACCAGTGAGACTGCCTTTGTCACTGGGTTTGGAGGACCTATGGCTATTCACCTCTTCACAACAAACAGCTGGAAAGTTTTGCCTCTCTGTTTCTACACCCTGGAAATGGGACATCCTTGACAGCAGAGAAATGCCCATGTCACCCTCTCAGGTCCTGTCTTCACAGAAGAACAGAGCTGTGTCCAGCGACCATAATGTGAGTGTGGCAGACCTTGAGTTTGTCTGCAGTGCGTCAGAATATCAAAAACCTCAGGCAGAAGAGATATCTTTGCATTTCTGCTTCCTTCTCAACCTTGTTGCAAGCCAAGAAGAATAATAACTGAGAAGCAGGCTCACTGATGCCAGAAGTCCCTGCTACATTCACAAACATTAGTGAAGACTGACACAAAGAGGGACTTTTTAATTTAATGTTGCAGACTTCAAATTGCATTTTCAAACTTGAGAATTGCCAACCTGACTTGAGGCTTGACAGTTCTTAATAGCCAGTTTTCAAATTAATACTTTTTATCTAGTTGAGTGCATAGCATTTTGATAA